TTGAATGATCCATCTCAGGGGTCTCAAATGCTTCATACCATGAGACAGTGGAAATGCAGAATCATAAATTTACAAAGAAATTTTAAATTTAAAAACAAAAGCCTTTCCCAGAGGAAAGGGTGATGTTTGCTCGGGATCTTTATTCATTCTTCCTAACTGATAGATGACAGACAGAACATAGTGAAAACAAGAAAAGATCTCAGAGACGTAAGCCAAACTCAAGGAGAAAGGAAAAAAAAAAAAATCTACATTTAGTGTCTATTTGACAGACCTGGAGCAGTTACTCTCTGCTGCTAAGGTTCCAGGGCAGATGCAAGAAAAAAGGGTCCTCACACTTTCTGTCTGACTGTGGCAGCTGAGATTGAATAGAGGAATACAGTGGAGGAACATAGAATTTTTACAACTCAGAAATTACCTTGTAAACAGTTGAAGAGTGTATTTTACTCCAAAGGAGACTCTAAAGTATGAGTTTACAGAAAAAAAAAATGTATTTAAAATATATATGTGGACACCAAATATCAGAGAGGCATGAAAGAAAGAACCAACAAAAGGCAAACAGAGAAAGCTACTAAATCAATTTCAGATAGAATTCCATGATTCTTTTGTATCTGGACAATTTCTCCAACATCCTAGGAGGTTCTTGAAAACCCTTTAGCAGCCTTAACATAGCCAAATTAGTCCCAGATATTTTTAAAATCACAAGTGAGTACATTTTTCGCGGGAATAAAGAGCAGGGAGAGGTGAAGGAGAGACAATATTCATCACTCTGGACATCCTAAGTGGATTGTTTTTATCTTACCTTCTAGTTCAGACTTATGACTACATTGCTGCTTAACGTGATGCCAGAAAGCTCACATTCCTCAAATTATGCTATCTTCATTTACTTGCTGACCCATGAAATTATTTTAGCGCAGGTCATTGGCTTTTGTATAATTAAAGTGTAAAGGATTAAAAGATAATGGCCTAGCCACAGGAGGAAAAAACACATTGAGGGTAAACATTCTTAAATACCTAACATCTTTCTTGAAAACTCTCTGATTCTGTTCAGTAGAGAAAAAAGAGAATTTGAGATTATATGGGGAAAATACAGGCAAGAGATTATAGAAAGATGAGACTCAGAATAGTAAAGATGAAAATTCATGTATTTCACATCAAGTAGATTCATTTAATACTGGTAAATATATTTAGAAAGATATATAACAGTCTGGCTTCTTGGGCTGCCCTAGCATAATGGCAGCTGCAGAAATCAGAATCTTTCCAACATCTTCAAAGAAACAAAAAGGAGCAAAAAGATCAACAAGGAGAGCAAAAAAGAACACACATACTTATACCTTCAGCATCACAGGGAAATATAGAATACTGTGGACCCCCAATTTTTTGTAAATAGAGAAACACCAAGCTTATATCTCCTTCCTGTTCAGAGAGGTGGGTGGAAAGCTTAAAGCCATTGGAGCACAGAAAAAATCAACACCAGTGAAAGTCCTATGCCAGGAGCAAAAATGCTGAGAACATACTGACACCTGATATATAAAAGCACTATGTCAGGAAAGGGACTTATATGTCAACATTAAGAAATTATCCAAAACTTTATAATAAGATAAAAAGATGGATTTTTATAGCATAGCTAAAGCATTATGTAATAAGCTAGCTGATGGGTCATCTGACTGTTTAAGAACATATAACTCTTTGGGGGGAGGAGGGAGTTTGCTATTCAATATTAATTAGAATCCAGATATTTATAATTTTGTAGATTAGATACTAGTAGGATACTCTTAAGATATAAATAAGTCTACACAGTGGAGATGCAAATAATTTCTTTCTAATAAAGAAGAAAGATTATAGTGTTATTGTCTGGAAGGACATTTAATTGGTACTTTTGTATTAAACTATTCAATTTATTCCAGCATTTATTTTTGTTTGTATGTTTACTTCTTTGAACATATATTCAGTTTTTCATGTCCTACTTTGCTAAGTCATTATGTCCTTATTCTACTATCCTACTAGCTTCCTCATTAATAAAATAGATGTTGACATGAGAATCATTATGTATCTATTTTCTAATTATGGTTTTAATATTTAGAAAATTCCACTTCGATAGACCTAAGATTTAGTCTTGGGAGAGCACTGTTTCCACCAAGAAGGTTAGTAACTAGGAAGGTAGGCAACATTCGAGATTTGAAGAAATCTATTTCAAGGAATTGGATTATATAATTATGGAGGCTGCAAGTCTGAAATTTGTAGGTAGGCCATCAGACTGAAAACTCTTAGGCTGGAGCTGATATTGCAGTCTTGAGGCAGAATTTCTTCTTCTTCAAGGGACAGTTATTCACTTCAGGACTTACAAATGGTTAAGGCTCCCTCACATTATCAAAACAATATTCTTTACTTACAGCCAAATAATTATTCATGCTAGCCACATCTATGAAATACCTTCACAGCAATACCTATATTATTGCCTAAATGAGTGACTGGGTACTGGAGCCTAGCCAAGTTGACAAAAAATTAACCATTCTGTAAATAAAAAAGTAAAAGAAGAAATTAAATGTCCTGAAAAGCAAGAACCCCCAAAATAAAAAGATACACGAATACTCTCTAAACCCATGAAAACAATTCTGTTTAAAGAATAGATCTATATGCTACCTCTCACTTAAATTTATATTTGCGTTATGTGGAAACTACCAGTAATTTCACTATACCTAGGGTTTCTTATAGAATATAAATGATTATATTGACCATTGACCAATTTTGATTTAAACTATGAGTTAAAGATCATTAAAATATGAGTAAAGATGCAAAAATACTGGAAACATCTTTTTAATTTGCTTTATGAGAGATAGTAACAAATTAACTAACTCAGATTATATATAAAACCCTCCAATATTACTGAAATAATAATCAACTTCACCACTTTTATATTTTAAAATATTTAATGTTAATGCGATTGTTTTCAAATTATTTATCCTTGAATATCTGAGTTCAAATACTATATTATCCATGATAGATTTGCTTTGTGGAAATATCTTTAATTTGAGTTTTAAATTTCTCACTCAGAGGTGTAATAATCGTATTAAAAATGAATCTAGAAGCATATTTAAAATATAAATGTGCATTAAATCTAGAATTTTATATAATTCTGCCTCAAAAATAGAGAAAAGGAAATGCCATATTAAACATGAAGTAACTGGCCTTTGTATTCTGCTTCCTGCTCATCAGCAAATATCTGTAATGATGCTGTAGAATATTATAGTTAATGTAAATGTTTGATTTCTTTGAATATTTTCTCTTTATCACAAGCTAAAGCTTCAGTTTTCAAAGATGAAAAAGCTTTCTTCTGTATAAGAGGAAAGACCTTTAGTGTCATGCAGAACTGACTGTATTTTCTGTAGAGCCAATTATTCTTAAATAATTAATGAGAATACCTGGTCCTTTGGTAACTTTTTGTCATTATGATGTACCAGGAGTGGCAAAAAATGAGTAATTGATGCCACTTAGTTGCATGTCAGTTTAACTTAAAATCTTCATTGGCACTGATCTATGAATACATTATATACAAACCTTAGTTCATGAATGCAAACTTCAGTAGCACAGGACTTTTTATCGGATACAACCATAAAGTGTGATAATGGGGGCTGTTACTGATTTCTTATATGCAACAGTTTTATCTTTAAATATCAAGCTAAATAAAATAATCTGAGCAATATTTTCTGACCCCAGGCCTCTATTAGGGCTGCTAAAAATGTTGGAATGAGGTATTTATTTGTTCATATTATTAATTTTGGGCAAATGTCTGTCAGTTTGGAAATAGAAGTTAGTCTATCACACATTTAGAAGCTCTATGGTGTTTTTAATATTTGGTAGAACTAGTCTCTCTTGTTATTAGTATTTCATATGAGAGTGGCTCTTGCATATTTACTTTTCCCAAAATACTTTATCAACTTGTCCACTTCTAGGAAAAAAATATTATTGGTGTTTTTATTTGGGTTACATAAATTTATAGATTGATTTGGGGAGAATTGAACTTTATATAATATTCACTTGTCTTATCTAAGAACACACTTAGATATTTATATTTATAGTATACAATTAATTTTTGAACTTCTAACCTGCTACCTTGCTGAATTTATTAGTTTTAATAGTTTATCAATGAATGCCTTAGGATATTCTGTGTATAAATCATGTCTTCTGCAAATAGAGATAATTTTAATTCTGGATGCTTTTTATTTCTTTTCCTTTTTTTTCTTTTTGCCTAGTTATACTGGCTATAACCTCCATGACAATGCTGAAAAGAGGTGATGACAACAAATATTCTTAACTTATTCCTGATCTTCTGGGAAAACATTCAATATTTCATGATAAAGAATTATGTTAGCTGTGGGTTTTTCATACATGCCCTTTATCATGTTGAGAAGGGTCCAGATACTTTTTCTGTATCAATTGAGAAGATCATGCAGTTTTTCTTCTTTGTCCTATTAATATAATATATTACATCAAATAAATTTTGTGGATTTTTTAAATCAAGTTACATTTCTAGAATGAATCTCACTTAGTCATGGTGTAAAATCTTACCCTTTGGATATTGCTGGATTTTGTTTGCTAGTATTTTGCTGAGGATTTTTGCCCCCATTTTTATACTGGACTCAAAGAATAGTTTGGAACTGTTATGTTCTATTCAGTTTTGGGGAATAGCTTTTAAAGGATTTCTGTTGATTCTTAATTAAACATTTGCTAAAATTTGCCGGTGAAGTAATCTGAGACACGGGGGTTTTCTTTTTGAAAGTTTTTTTTTTTTTACAAATTCAATCATACTACTCTTTATTGGATTATTAAAAATTTTTTTAAAATTATAAATTTCATCAATACTTGTTTAATATATCATGAAGCTCAGTTATTAGTAGGCAAAAACACTTGTATAATTATTTTGCTTTTCTGATTAATTGACCCTTTTATAATCTTTAAAGCATTTTTATTTTTTTAATGATTCATTCTTTTCTTAGAATATACTTATCTTATATTGATTAAGCCATTCCATCCTTCTTCTTACCATTTGTATAATATATCTTCTTTCATCAATTTTCTTTTAACTTCTCTTTTTCTTTGTGTATCTTGTAAATAGGACATAATTTGGTCTTGTTTTTTATCTTATCTACTGTGACAAACCCTTCCTATTAATTGCACATTTAATGTGTTTATTAATACAGTTGGATTTGAGTCTACCATTTTGTTTGTTTTCTATATGGCCTGTCTGTTTTTGTTTCTCTTTACTTTTCCTTCATTTTATATTATTTGAGTATTTTTAAGACTTTATTTTAATTTTACTATTCCTTTTTTTTGGGTGATGTTCAGGAAATTATAAAGTAAATCTCTACTTTGCATAGTTAAGT